ACTGAGCTACCGCCCCAGCCCCAAATTTTCCCATTTTTATATGGCATTTGGAATTACATGGGCTACCTTGGGTACAGACCAGCAGGGGCGAGTCCCAAAGGGTACTGTGGATAAACGACCTCCTTGTTTTGCTCATTCTCTAACCTCTCTTCTGTATCTGATTTAGACCATGTTGTCGATGATCTTTTCTGCTCTGGGAATTGCCTTCTCTGGATACAGCATGGTCATATCTGCTCTGGGTCTCCTCCAGGGCCCATACTGCCGCACCCTCCATGGCTGGGAATATGCCTTTGAAGACACCGCAGGACGGTAAGGACTCATTTCCCAACCAAAGAGCTCAGAAAATCAGAAACCCTGTCCTCATTCAGTTCCATCGTCCACGATTGCCCTGGGGTTCCACATGGACACACACCTTTGGTTATCTTCTCTGGTTTCTGAATGTGATCTGTACTCAATATTTTGAGGCAAGCCATCACTGAAAGTCACGTTCTTCCCATTGTTCAGATTAAAACCTGGTGATTATCTGGCAACTAATGGAGCTGGGATCTGCCGGGTTTCAGTGACTCAGTCTTCTTTTGTAGCCAGTTTGGACATGGTCTATTGCAGTGGCAGGAAAGGAATCGTGGTGCCCTTGGAGAGTGCCACTTTTAGCTATAGCAGCAGGGAACATGGAGGTAGAACCATGAAGGATGAGCAGGAAGGTGCAGTCAGATCCAGGAACACGACTTGGGACAGTAGACTGTGGAGACAGCCAGGGGCTTCCCCAGCTGGTAATGAAGAAGGGTCCAAAGAGATGCCCTTGCTCAGAAGGCTGGTGGCTTGAGCACCCCCACCCTGTATCTCAGAATGCCTGGACTGGCCTTGGGCTGGCCTTACTGGGCTACCAGCACCTGCAGACGCAGCTCGGGAGGAAGCAGGGCCCAGAAAGGGATGCAGGAGAAGCCCAGTCTCCTTGTCTTTATCTTATGCTCAGAATAGAATGGAATACAGCGAAGAGCATATACTGCTCCCTGGGGAGGCAGCATTTTCTTCCCCAGGCCCTACGACTGGCTCCACTGTCTGTTCCAAGGCCTTGTCTATGTGAGGATCTCACATGCAACCTGGGCCTGCAAGGCACTGCTGACCTCTTTTAGTACACAGGGCTCTCCTCAGGTCAGGAGAACATAAACAATAACCTCAGGCCTTCCAGTGCATTGGAGGTGACACTCCTGTGGTACAGAAGGGGCTCAGGAAAGAAGATCTCAACATAGAAATTCCCGAGAGGACAAAGACCTTTCTGATACCAACTTTTCCCTACCCCCAAACCAAAGCCACTTTCCCTTCCACAAGTCTCTCCGTCACTTTGTTCAACTACCTTGAATGTGGGTCTTCACCTGCCTCTGACTACATAAAAGTGTGTGGAGGTGAAAAATTGTTTGCAGACCATCCAGGAAAGCTAAGTCTCTGGTCTCCTAGAGAAGTTTCCAAGGTTTGGTTAAATGCAGGGTAGAGAAAGGATTAATATCAAAACAATGAATATCAGCATTTCATTTATGCAGCAAATATTTATTGAGCATCTATTATGTTTTGAACTTGGGCTGAGTGTTAGAGAATCACAGCTAAATTGCAGAGGTTCCCTCCCTTCTAGAATTCACAGAACTGACAGAAGAGTCTACTGAGTGAAAGCCTTAGGATAAAGTTTGCCCTTGAAGCACACAGGTCTTTGATGCTTATAGGTTTGGACTTAAATCTCCAAACCCCCCTTTCTATGCTGTATGATACTAGACAAGTATATGGCTGACTCTGAGCCTCTATAAGTTGGGGAAAATAATCATATCTACCTTACAGAGCTGAGAATTATAAAGGATGTGATACACAAATAAGATGTAATAAATGCTCATGGTATGCCAGGTTTTATTTATTTATTTATTTTTATTTTTTGGGGGGTGTACCAGGATTGAACTCAGGGGAACCTGACCACTGAGTCACATCACCAGCCCTATTTTGTATTTGATTTAGAGACAGGATCTCAGAGTTGCTTAGCGCCTTTCTTTTACTGAGGCTGGCTTTGAACTCATGGTCCTCCTGGCTCAGCCTCCTGAGCTGCTGGTATTACAGGTGTGCACCACCATGCCCAGCTCCAAATTTTATTATTATTAATAACATTACTCTGCATACTCCTTTATGTCCCTTGAATTCCCCATCCTCCAACTGGCTAGCAGTTCCAGCCACTATAAAATGACTAGTGAGGATCCTGAATCAGTTTTCAATCAACAAACATTTGTTAATCTGTACATGATACTGGGAACTGCCTTAAGTCTAGACCTGGCTATTCAGAGAATCAAGGCCCTTAGATAGCAGTCTGGTTAGGAAATGGAAGCAGATGCAGACACAGATGCAGACATAGATTTATAGAGTGAACATCTAGGTGAAGTTCCCACACCTGAAGTCAATGCTGAGATGGCTTCTCTATTCCTCCCCACCCTGCTGCTGCAGTTTATAAGAGGAATAAACCTTACCATAGCCTGTCTGAGACAGACCCTCTTCTGACTGGTTTTTAAGTGCTAAATGATCTGTGCACAACGTGCGAGGGGAAGTGTCTAAAGAAGGGATCAGGAGGGACCCGCCTCCCTCATGGATGGCTGAGAGGCTACACACGTCTCACCAAATATTCACAATCATGCGCTATTTTTTTTTTAAAGATAGAAGAGGGAGAGAGAGAATCTTTTAATATTTATTTTTCAGTTTTCGGTGGACACAACATCTTTATTTTATTTTTATGTGGTGCTGAGAATCGAACCCAGCACCCCTTGCATACCATGCGAGCGCGCTACCGCTTGAGCCACATCCCCAGCCCCGATCATGGGCTATTTTAACCCATCATCCAGATAAGACTCTGGTGGTCAAAAGGGTAAAGTCCCTTCCCAGGGCCCTGCAATCCCAGGTGCCGACTCTTTATGGCTGGGGATGAGGACCCTTAGCAATATCGAGAAATTCTCAGAGTGCTTCTGAGTTTCTAGAGCATTAGAGAAGGGAAATAAAGGAAGAGGAAAGAGTTCAGAGGAAGGAGTAGGAGACGAATAGAGGTCAGAGGAAGAAAAACAGAGGAGAGGTCAAGGTGGGGTGCGTGGTCACCAGAGTAGGAATCCACCCCTGCTCAACCCTGACCCCGGTGCCCACAGCCTCAAGGCCAGGACATGGGCTGCTGGCTGCAGCTCTGAGAAAAGCCACCCTGCCAAGCACTTTGCCCCTGTGAATGTGACAATTGTTTTTGTCGGGGCAGGTTTTGGGGAGGCCAGTTCTTCACTTCAGTGTTGCTGAACACACAGTCTGACCATTAGAAGTGCCCAGGACCATGAGAGAGCCAGGGTGAGCCTGCAAACTGGGTTGGTCCAGAGTAGCTTCTGGTTTGTCCTGGGAGTGGTTTGATCTTACATCCCTGTGCTAAACTGGACGGATTGAAACGTGGGCCGTTGTGTTCCCATCCCATAATCTGAGTCTCCTTCAGCTGGGACAGCAATGTTGCAAAAAAAAAAAAAAAAAGGTTCTTTATGGGGACCAGAGCTGAGCACAGCAGCATCACCCCTGGGGGACTTAGAACTGGAACTCGGTTCCTCCGGACCCACCAAGCCAGCACGGTGGAGTGGGGCCTGCATGCTGGGTTCTCACGGGCCTTCCTATCTTCCCGATGTTGGCTCACGTGGTTGCCTTTATTGAAAGGGCTTGGACAGTGTCAAGGAATTTCTAGCGCAATTTTTATCCTTTTGCCATAAATGTGATTTTATGTCCAGAACAAGTCTCCATCCCTGACCAACTTCTCAACTCCCCATCTTGGAATCTGCAACCTTCTGCTGCCTTCTGCTGTGGTTGACCTGTCTGGGGTTTGTCTTGCCTCCTGATCAACTGAGAGTGCCTCCCAGGCAGACACCATGTTTAAACCAAGGGTCTAACTCAGTGGCTGTACATACAGTGTTCAATAGATGCACCTGAATGACTTTTCAAATATATCAATTCATATTACTGTTTAATATTACTACATACTAATATGATGTTATGTTTGTTACATTTTAATAATAAAGTATTAACTTCCCAAACATATGAGTGGCTGTAGTTTCAGCCTTGGGTACAATGTGAGCCCAGACCCAGGTTCCAATTGGCCACTCCCTCCCCTCTCTCAGTTTTCTGACAGATTCCAGCATGTGGAGCCAATGTCTGGAGCCCACACACGTGGTGGAGTGGAACGTGATTTTGTTTTCCATCCTCATAGCCCTGAGTGGGCTTCAGGTGATCATCTGCCTCGTCAGAATCTCCATTCAGCTTTCCAAGACCCTGTGCGGCACCTACTCCGTCATCATCCAGGTAGTGCTGGCCACTAGCCTTTTCCCCTTTATCCTGGGGGAAGGTCTCTGCAATCCCTTATTTATCCCCATTTCTACTGCCCTTATTTTTCCTCAAACTCTAAAATCTCAATTTTTTTTTTCTGATGTTCCAATGCATTTGTTGACTGGCCTCAATGGAATGAATGAAGTCAACAACTGTCAAATCGATGTACTATATTGTATGGTAAAAATAGCCTAAGAGTTTTGAATGAGTGCATTTTATTTCTCTATGTAGAGATACCAAAAGCATGATGATATTTTACTGTTTTAAGAATTGTCATGCTCATGAGATAATGGAAGGCTCAGGACTTTATCTCACTATTGTTATATTCAAGTAATAAAACTTCTTTATACTGAGGACACTAACAAGTGGTTTGAGAAGAGGGGAAATGTCTCATCCTATTGAAACTAATTAACTTCATCTGCTAAAATACTGATAATTTACTTATGGTTGCAACTGCTAAACCTATTCAACAAGTCAAGAGTGAAGAGAAATCTTGAACAAGGAATCTCACATTTTAATAACATATAATGTCAGCATCTCTCTGAGCAGTTTCAAATAGATATTTTCCTATCCTAACATTTTTTTTTTGCAGTGAGGGGGGGGGCTACCGTGGATTGAACTGAGGGGCACTTGACCACTGAGCCACATCCCCAGCCCTATTTTGTATTTTATTTAGAGACAGGATCTCACCTAGTTGCTTAGCACTTCGCTTTTGCTAAGGCTGGCTTTGAACTCACGATCCTCCTGCCTCAGCCTCCTGAGATGCTGAGATTACAGACATCCATGCCCACCTCCTATCACGTTTTGAATATGCTAAATGTTTAAGTTGTTACCTGGATGATGGGTTATTAATCAAGACAATTTTATAACTTGACTCACTTTGTTTTTTTTTTTCTTTTTCCATAGCCTGGAATCATCTGAATATGGACAAGAGTGTTTTTATTGTCAAGCTACAGCTGTCAACCTAAGCCTCAGGCCCACTGAGTACTTTGAGGATGACAATGGATGAGGGCATCTCCTGCATTTGGTGTTCATCATGCCCATTTGTGAAATTTACAGTCCTCACTGAAAGTGCCACCTTTTCATTGAGAATTTTTTTCAAACTAATGTGTCAGGAACTTTACAAGTATGTGTAGTTATACCCTTCAATCAAATAAGTCCATTTCCAAGAATCTGTACTATGAAAACAAGTAAGAATATAAGAGAAAATTCTATGCAAATGTGTATTGAAACATGGTCTAATATTCTGGAAAAGAGGAAATCCCCCAAAAATCTAACTTTGGGGGAAGAATTAAAGCATGGTACATTAAATGTAAAATTATATGATAATTATGAATGATGTTTTAGAGGTTAGGAATAATGCTACATAACAAAGCAGGTTACAAATTTCTGTTTACAGCACCAGCATAACTATTTAAAACAAACCACCAAATAATCAAAGTTTAGGATAAAAATGAAATCTAGTAAGAAGCAACAAAATATCAATTGTGATTGATTTGGGTCTTCCTATTTTTCTATACTTTTAAAGTTTTGTTTATTAAGTATGTTTTACTATAAATATTTTTTAAAAACTCATATTTTTACTATTAAAATTTTCTATTTTTTCAACCCTTAAAAGTACATGCTTTGTACAAGTGTTTCCAAACAATTAGTATTTATAAAAATCATGGAATAGCACTTCAACTTTCAATGAGGAAAAGAGTGACCTAGATAACCCAAGAAGTTTTATATAAATGCATAGAATCTGATTCTTGATCTTCTCTCACTTCTGGTGGTGAGGATGCTGGACTAGAATAGTAGCTATGAACTAAATGAGTAGCTGGGGACCTTCCCACTGGGCACTGGAGGATCTATGGATCAGTAGATGCCTGTGTCCTGGGAATTACCACTGACCTGTGTTGCTAAAGTCAAAAGCATTTAAGGTAGAACATTTACAAACCTTCCATCTGCACCCACCATGACACCCCTGAGGAGTGCAGCCACATCTTATACTTTCCCATCATCTGTGGGGCCTAGCACACAGTGGGCCTACAGGCCCTCCATGTCAACATGCACACCAGGCCTTTCTCCCTGTGTCTCTAGGCTGGGCACCCTCTCCATCACAGAACTGCTGGGCTTCAGTGTGGGAAGCCATTCTCGCTCGTGATTTGAGCTACCTCCCTGGCGGGGTGTGAGGTGCTTAGACAAGCTGTGTCAGAGCCTTCCCCACCCTTCCCCAGGTGTGAGGGCTTGTCCATGTGGGGGTGTGGCTGACCACTGACCTGAAAACCAATCGCTGACCCTGACCTTGGAATGCTGCCCCTCTCAACCTTCATTGGATGGAATTTTCCCATGAATTTTTTGTTCCCCAATAAAAGCTAACTCCCTGGTGTGTTTCTCTCTCTCTCTTGCTGGCCTCTTGTGTAAACCTCCCTACCGTGTCAGGTGGCTAGAGGCAGGAGCTGGGAGGAGCCGTCTCTGAGCTGGGCAAAAATGGTAAATTGAGAGTCATGTTTCTTTAATTTGAACTCACTAGTTAATTTCTATGTTTTGAACCTCAAGTATGAAGCTAGAGTGCTGGTCGCTGACTTCAGCACTCTGCCAATCCCTATTGCTATCCTCCATGCACACAGTCAACACCTGCTCTGAGACACACACACACACACACACACTCAAACTTGCATACTTTTCTCAGAAAAGAGTATTTGGTACACGAATGTGAATTACACGTGATCTATGGCAAAGTGAGGAAAGATGTATTTTGGAGTCAGATTGCTCAGGTTGAAGTCTGGGCTCTGCCTTATTAGCTGTGGAACTTTGTAAATTTACTGAGCCTCTCTTAAATCAGAACCTAGGTCCACTTAGAGCCCAAGATCTGGGATGCCGAGACTTGGAAGTACTACAAAAGCAACCAAAGAAAAGGGCAGAGGAAGGAAATAGGGCCACAGAGGTGACATGACATCCGAATGTGGGAGAGAAAGGAGGAGAAGGTAAGAGGCAGGCAGTACAGGTTAGACTCCCAAATCCAGAGTACAAAGAAGACCATTAAAACAAAAAGCTCAACTTTCCTTATGTCACCAGCTGAGACCATGAGCTTAGTGGCCAGGTCCTCAGGTTCCTGGAAGCCCTGCCTGTGGCCTGTGCACTTCTATCCCTGGGAAGCTGGCGGAGGGTGGGGGGGTATTCAAGGTCATGTTAGGAAAGACACTGGCCAGTGCTTCCTGCTGTGGGAGATGGTGTCAAGGTCAGTCCTGGAGGAGCTGCGGCATCTGTCAGGAGTAGAGATGCAGCCGCATAGCTGGGCAGGCCGGCAGGACACATAGAACCGGACACGAAAACTTTTTACTTAGAAAGAGTGCTGGATTTGGTGCCAGGCCACTTGGATCAGAAATAACACAGTACCTGGTCCAAAGAACTTAACCAAATCAAACAAAATGCTTTTTAAGGATTGAGATAAAAACACATACACATACATCCCTATAATTTCACGCCTGCCTAAAATGACACTGAATTTATAATAGTTTTGTTTGTTTGTTTTGTACCAGGGATTGAACCCAAGGGTGCTTAACCACTGACCCACATCTCCAGTCCTTTTTATGTTCTATTTAGAGACAGGGTCTCACTAAGTTGCTTAGGACCCTGTGAAATTGCTGAGACTGGCTTTGAACTCACAATCCTCCTGTCTGAGCCTCCGGGATTCTAGGCATGTACCACCACGCCCAGCCTAATCCAGTTTTTTTTAAAGAATCAAGACCACAAACGTGGAGAGGTGAGGGGAAAAGACAACCACAATAAAATTGTAGAAGCTGAGAGGTTATCTGAGTAACCAACCCAAGAATCACGGCAAGCTCGAGCTGTCCACGGGACACTGAGAACCAACCTGGTTTGTATCTTAGAAACCTCAAAAGGAGACCAGAGATGATATCCGTGTTGAGAATAAATCAGGATCCAGGTCCCCGTTGCCTTTGTGTTGAAGATTGAACACCCAAGAAAGGCCAAAGCCATCTCAGAAAAGAAGTTTTATTTAAAGGATAGAACAGACATAGACTTTACCCAACGGCAAGGGGATCCAGAGCTGGTTTTATTTCATTTCAGATTTCCTTTTTCCTAATGTGCCTTCCTCCTCTTATCTTGCCTATGTGACTAGTGACCAAAAGCCCAGAGAGGAGCTGCTCAGAAGGGCAGGGAACCATGGGGGAGGGGGGCAGGGATGCACTCATTAACTCATTAGCTGTGAGGAACAGCTCCCTGGAGGCAGGTCCCCTTGGCAACAGGTTGGAGGAGGGGGAAGTGCTCTGGAGGTATCAGCATTTTATTTCCTTTTGAACTCCATCTTCCTGGCCCAATTATTCATTGCCTACACTGGCCTTTTGCCCCGATCTTAAAAAGACTCCCAAATGGACCACTGGACCAAGAAGGATTTTGTGAGCCCCATGCCACTAGGAAGTGGCAGGTGTCTGAAATTTAATTCTTTGGGAAAGTAAAAACAGAGGGTCCCAGAGTTGGAGAAAACTAGACACAGTTACTGCACCCAGAGACTGCATGGCCCAAATACTGGATGCTGGGACACTCCTCACTGTGAGCCCTCTTATCCCACACAGATCTCGGAAAGTTGGTGGCCACCCAGCCTATCACTTCCCTATAGAGACTCTCTAGGGAGTCTGGCCAGGAGGAAAAGCTCACTGGCTGTGTTAGGCAGAATAACACCCCCACCCACCACTGCCCCTATGCCATGTCCTAATCTCTGGAACCCGCAAGTATGTTACCTAGAAAAGCGTTTAGCAGAAGTGATTAAGTTGAGGAGTTTTGAATGAAGAGATGGCCCTGCTGGGTTGCCAGGTCAGCCCCACCCATCACCAGCATCCTCAGAAAGGGACAAGAGTGTTAGGCACAGAGAGAGATGATACAAAAACTCAAGAGAGGAGAAAGTCGCTCCCTTGCTGGCTTTGGACATGGGGTAAGGGGCACAAACCAAAGAACACGGTGGACACCAGAACCTGGGAGGACAAGGAGCAACTTCTCCCTGGAAGGATCCCTGGCCAGCCAGCCCTTTCAGTCCTGGGAAGCTGACTTTGGATGTAAGATCATTTGTGCTGTGTTTTGTCTCTAAGTTTGTGGAGTTTGTCATAGCCCAATAAAAAGCTAATATTCTCATGTTTTAAATAAGCAAAAACATGATAGAAGATTTAAAAAATAAAGTCAAGGACTCCTTCAGAGACCAGAGCAAAAAAGAATAAGAAATCTTTAAAACTGGACCAAAAGTCAAAGAAAATTAAAAAACTAGCCAAATAGTCCAACGTCAAATACCAGAAATTTCTAGAGGGAGCAGAGAATCGGAGGGCACAATCATTGCTTTTAAAATCCTGGCATAGTGTAGCTAATAAAAAAAAATAAAATTAAAATAAAAAAAATAATAATAAATAAAATAAAATAAAATCCTGGCATAAAAGAGAATATTCTACAGGCTTCCAGGAACAAAAAGAATAGGTCACCCAGAAAGTAGAGGGACTCACTTAGCTTCAGGCTTCTGATGGGCTAAACTGGACCGACCAGAGAGCAGCACCTTCAGAATTCTAAAGGAAATTGTTTTCCTGATGCTTGACATTTTCCAGTGAGCGCGTTTCCCAAAAAAAAAAAATCCCTTTACCAAGAAGCCACTGGAGAATGCACTCCTCCAAAATGAGAGAATTTGTCTTCCTCCAAAAAGAGGGAGAAATGGGATTCAGGAAAGAAGAGGTAGGTGAGGGAATCCCCCAGGGAGAAGGAAAGGGTGTCCCAGGATGGCAGCTGTTCACCAGGGACAGAGTCCACTGGAGGGAGCCTGTGACTTAGAGACCCAGACCTGCAGGCCAAGCACAGTCGCTGCTCTGGAGCCCTGCTGCCAGCACCGCCCTTTAGACTTCCAGACAGTACACCTGGGCGAGGTTCTTATCTTCCGTGGCTGGACTTAAGCATCCTAATGTTGCTCCCGCCTTCCCCTCTATTTCCCCCTGTTGGGTCAGCTGAGGACATCCCTTCCACGCCACAGCAAGGCTTCTCCACTGGGAGCTTAGAAGCAAGAGGGACAGAGAGGCTGACTGCTGTGCCCTGGGTTTAGCCCGAGAAAGACTCTTGAACCTCAGGGCTGATGCAGTCTGACCTCCAGGCAGCTCCCTCATCTTCTCCCAGGAAGTCTCTTCCCACCTTGGCAGAGCTGCCTTTTCTCACCTGGATGGGCTTACGCTTGTTGTTCTTGTTTTCTTCAAAAGTAAATAATATATTGCTTAGGGTGAGGAACACGAGGTAGAATGGGAGGGGAAGGAATCAGGCCGTGGGAGCTACGTAAGCTTCTCTGGAATGGGAACTGCAGTCTCCTCTGCAGACCTCAGACACAACCCTGCAGAATAGACGCCTTGGGCTGTCTTGGTCTCTGGGCCCCTGATGAAGCCATTCCTGAAGGATCTGGGGAAAAGGGACCCTAGAAATGAAGAGCTTAGGACATGAGTGGGACCCAGGAGCTTCCGCACCAGGGAAGGATGGGGCTGGCAGTCTGGGAAGCCATGGTTCTGCAGGTGGGAATCTCCAGTAAGTGCAGATACGGCCCCTCGGGAAGGGGTCTCTTAGCTCTTCTGAGCTGAAAATGAGGCTCTTAATGCTCTTGGCTATGAGAAAGCTCTGACTTTGAGAGCAAGTGTCTTTGTTCTGACTTTGAGCTCTGAGCCTCTCCTTTTCATCTACTTTGGCAGAGAGGTGGTTAGAACCACCCCTAGGAGTAGAGGAGATGAGATTGAAGGGGAGTATTTACAAGAATTCTGGAAGCAGTTTCTGTCTTGAGTCAGACTATAATAGCAGGAAACCACTAAGGACAAGTCCCTGCGGACCTGAAGACATAAGAGGACAGCAAGGGGCATAATGAGGCTCACTCAAAGAATTCAGGGGCCAGGTATCAGTAAACTCCATTAATTATAGGTTATTGGAGTTCAGAGACCAGAAATAGAGATTGATCCTGTAATCAGTTCATTTTCTGTTGCTATGACAGAATGTGGGGAGCTGGGTACTTTATAAAGAAAAGGGGCTTATTTAAATAGCTCACAGGTTTGGAAGCTGCAAGTCCAAGATCAGGTAGCCCCATTGCTTTAGCCTCTGATAAAGGCCCTTTGGCAACATGGCAGATGGCATCAAGGCAGGAACATATGAGAGCAGGACATCACACCAAGAGGCAGGAAGCCAGAAGCATTCAGGGCTGAGGCTTGGTCTTTATAACAATCCATGTCTATATTAACCTCCTCTGAGAGCATAGCCCTAATGACCTAATCACATTCCATGAGATCCCAGCTCTTAAAGGTCCTACCATGATATCATCACACTGTGACCTAGCTTCAAGGGCCTGAACTCTTGGGGAACACTCTCAAACCATATGGAAACCACAGCAGATTCTTCATGTTAAGAGGAGTTCTGGGTGAGTCATACTAAATCATTTTTTTAAAGTGTCTTTGGGGAATAAGATGCTCAAGCTTTGTCTTTGAGAATAACTTCTCAATCACAAAGGTAAATGTTACCTTTGCAATAGAGAGATCTAGAAGACACCACCTTTCCCAAGAGACCAAGTTGAGCATAGCAAACCCTTGGATCCTCCTCCAATTTCCCTTGTTCCACCACACAGGGCCTCTCCAGACTGTTCCAGAATAGGCAGACAACTTCTGCATCTCTGTTCCTGAAGAAACTCTCTGGAGATGGAAGCATGTGGTTCGACCAGTGAGTGTTGTTGGATAAATCCCATGACTTCTGTGCCTGTGGGTGATGCAGGACAGATGAAGCTGGACACCGGAGGAATCAGCAAGAAGCAGGTTTATTGGCTACAGTGATTCAGAGTGAGGCCCGTGTGCAAGAAAGTCCTCTGGACCCCGAGTCTGGAAATTCTTGGAACTTCATACCCACTTGGGGGTGGGGAGTGGGTGCTTGGAAGTTTACATATTTGTAGGAATCTACATAAAATTTTAATTCACAGAAAGTGTTTTTCGTCCCATTTTTTTTTTAGATTAGACAGGTTTTACAAGTTTTATTACAAAAGCAGAAGTAACATCATCAAGTCTTCAGCCAAACTTAGCTTTGCAAGACAGAACAACTTTGTCCTCACAAAAAAAAAATAGGAAGTCCTAACCCATCTGGAGTTTTTTAACAGAGATTTTTGCTGCAATTCTGTTAATAAGAACAATTGTGGGCTGAGGATATAGTTCAGTTGGTAGAGTGCTTGCCTCACATGCACAAGGCCCTGGATTCAATCTCTAGTACCATAAAGGAGGAAAAAAAAAAACAGAACAATTGTGGTAAGGGTCTCTAGAGAAGCTTAATTGAGATTTTTAGTGGAGGAGGGTGTGTCACAACAATTCCCCCCCTTTAATATTGTGCTCTACAATTTAATTTTTTTAAATTAAAGAGCATCATTATCACCTTCTTGCCTTAAAGTCTTATATAATGCCAAAATCTTATTTGTTGTCCTTCTTTCAATAGCTGCTTCCATAGTAGACCCAATAGTTTTAATGCACAGGGGAGCCAAACATGGGAGCAATAAACAAGTTAATAGTAGAAGACCTACTATACCAATTAAGCTTTTAAATCCACCAAGAGTTGAAAACCATCCTCCAAACAGTGAGCTTGGATCCCAAGCTTTAAAACCCTTCCAGGTTTGAACTGGCACATGTGCTAGTTTTCTTATGTTTCTGGCTATGTCTTTGACTGCCTGTCCATTGTCATCTATTTGGATGCAACAGTCTGAGCTGTTGAACTTTCCACACACTCCCCCTTCCTCAGCCAGTAGGTAATCTAATGCCAAGCGGTTTTGATAGATAGCTGCTCTCATCTGTGTTTGTTGTGTGGCTAGGAGGTCAAAGGCTGTGGCAGTCTGATTAGTAATAATTTCTAGTACAGCTTGTAGGCGAATGATCCTGTTTAGCATGTAAATAGGAGTTCTATAGCCCCAACTGCCATCCTGTGCCCAGGTAGCGGGACCATAAGTGGCAATAATTCTCTGAGGTGGCCAGTCATCCTCAGCCCAAGATTGTTGACCTCCTAGATCAAGTCCTTTCCCAATGGACCTCTTTTTCCTTGGCCCTAGGTCCTCATACAAGGGGATCCCTAGGTCTTTTCCAGTTGTATTTGGCAACAGGAAAAATCCAGGTTTAATAGTACCAATAGTGCAGGTTCCCCTCCAGTTTGTTGGGAGGTGGGTATAGGCCTTTTTTCCACAGATCCAAAATAGTCCATCAGGTGCTTTCCAATTAGAGGAGGCTGGATTGTTCCAGAATTTGTGGATCTCAGGGATGCTCCGAAAAGAACTGATTTGGCTAGTGTCTGAAGTGGTACAGTTAAAAAGAACTCTTTTCTTTAAGGGCTTTTTGCATATAAGACCCCTAATCCCCAGCCAATGTGGTTTATCTGCCCAAAACCAAGTAGGTTTTTGAGGCCACCAGGTGGCGTTCCAGAACAATATTCTGTTACACGGGGTTTCCCCTACCCACTGGGTGTGTTGAGGTCCAAACCTTCCAATACATTCCTGACCAAGTACTTCTGAAGTGAGGACCCAGCCCTGGGGCCTTTCAATTTTTAGTTCCACATGAGTCTTATTCCACAGTAGTAAGGAGTAAGCATCTAGACTTGTTCCGGTCCAGGGCCATTCTTCACTCATCAGGGCCCCTCCACACACCCAACAGTTTTTAACCTCAAGGCTTTTAGCTATTCTTTCTGCTAGGTCCAGAAAGAGATTTTTCCCCAAAGAAGGAAAGTTGAGATTTGGACTTAATCCCTCATATAGTTTAGCAGCAGGGCTAGGACTTACGGTGGGTCTTGGAGCAATCGAACTTGAATCACTTTTTACAAAGTTTTCCCATGTCAGAGGCTGAGGATCCAGCGGCCAGCAATACCAAATTCCATTGGTAGGGGGGAAATTCCCTGGGCAAATTATATCCCCCTTATATTGGGATTCAATCCAAGCCATGTAGACTCTTTTTCTTTCCCAGAGACAAACAGTCATGCTCTTATAGCATCTTTCTGGTGGGGCAGGTCCTAAATATATAGTTTGAATCACCCCTTCATTATAATAGATTGATTGGACACATGGTTCACATGATTTCCACTTTTGGGGCAGGAGTGGGGTAGAGCTCCCTAAGAGTATCAAAGGAAACCAAACTAAATGGTAGACCAACATTTTGGTTAGGCTAAACAGTGTAAGTTAACAAAGCCAAACTAAGAACACCAAACAAACCCGAGTAAACCTATAAAGCAAAGTTAAAAAAAGGACAAATGAAATTTTGTTACCAAGAGTCCAGTCAGTAGGAGTCACTGTTATCAAACCTGTAGCAAAAACCAAGCAGAGAACTATATATAGGGATAGAAGTAAGGGGTGTCAATGCATTTCAGTATAAGAACTATCTTGGCGGCTGAAAGAGTCTATTTGTCCTGATAGTAAGTCTATCTTCCGCTGTGTGTTGATCAGCCAGCCTCTGAGTGGCCAAAGCAGGGCTGTGGTCTTCTCGAGCTTCGACCGTGCGTCGACCGTGCGCAGTCTAGTCAGCTTGCGGAGGGACTAGAACAGGGCTGTCGTCCTTCTGATCCTCAAGCTTCTCCAGAGCTTCCTTCCTCTGGATAGTCAGCTTCAGGGATGCAGCAGGGTCTGGAGAGCATCTCAGTCCACAGCTGCGGGCTTGAGCCTGGTGTTATGAATCCAGGGACCGGCTCGTAACTTTTCCTGCAGTTGGGGTAGATAAAATAACAGTGAAAAGACCCTTCCAAAGAGGTTTCAGGGGCTGAGCATTTCATTCTTTGATTCAGACCAAATCTCCAGGCTTGAAGGAGTATGCATCTGAGGTCAAACTTACTAGCAATCTTCCCCTGATTCATTGGTTGAGAGTCTGTAAGGTTTTCCCTAAAGCCAGAAGCTGTTGTCTCAATGTTAATTCTCCTATGTCTCTTAAGTCTCCCTGTAATCCCCTGGTATGTGGTGG